AAAAGTAATCTATGACTAAATGTAAAATAAATACACATTAAGTAAAAAATCATTATGGATACATAAAAAAAATTTACTTTAACTCGTAGACTTAGAAAATGAAATAAACATAAATAATTTTTGTTTAATATATTTTTAAAGGGTTAGGGGGGATAAGGTTGGGGGTTGATTATTTTTTACATAGTATTTGAGTATTTTTATTTGTATTTTAAATGTATGTATTATCACTATAACAAAAAATAAAATGATAAATTGATGAGGATGATGCAGAAAAACCTGGCAACAAAGGATGCAACGGATGATATTTTTCTCTATTGGCTAATAAAAAAAAAAAAAAAACTGTCAAAGCGCAACAATGGCTAAAAACACTGTGAAACCGTGCAAATAATGTGGTAAAATATGCACATGGAGCCTGATAGAACTCTAGTGTTGACTTGGCTGGCTCCACACTGCCATTACAGAATGTCCTGTGTGTGGTGTTTTTTTTTTTTTTTTTTTTTTATAAATGAGTACAAGTCCTTCTCTAGATGAGTTGGTGATGATATCACCTTGCATCTCCACCTCTTCAGGCATTCTGTCAATGAAGGAAGCTCAGAGAAGGTGATGACCCCCCCCACGCCCTTTGTCCTGGATGATTGCTGCTATCACTGTATAGTGCCAATCACTACATTGAATTGCAGCTTGGATAGTGATCGCAGGTGTGAGATATACATAACTTGCATTGCTCTAAGTTGGACCCATGAAAATGAAACTATACAAAAGAAAAATCCTACCTAGTATTTTTAGAAAAAAACCAACGTAAAGTTAAGGTGCTTTGCTTTTTTTATTTTATTTAATGCATAGGGGCCAGAGTGTCTGTGTGTACCAAATGCAGAATACATGGAAGGTAGAGGCTCCTTAAGAATCAATTTAAAGAACTAGACTGCATGTTGAAGGGAAAAGCCTCCAAGGTAATACTCTGAAATATTACACAGGATAGACAGGGGAGATTAGAGAACTGAATCTATGGCTGAAGACCTGGTGTAGGAGGGAAGGATTTGGGTTTCTAGAGCACTGGGTTGACTTTTCATTGGGGTGTAACCTATATGCTAGAGATGGTTTGCACCTAAATGGAAGGGGGTCTGTGTTGCTGGGGCAGAGGTTTATGGGACAGCTGGAGGAGCATTTAAACTGGGATTGAGTAGGGAGAGCTAATTGGATTATAATAGTGCAGACAGATCAGACAGGGGTCAGTCCTTATTGGTGGGTGGAATGGGGGAGGGCTATGGCAGGTGATAAGGAGGTTCCCATGTTACAAACAGCCATTGGAATTGGTACCATTTTGTCCGAAAAAAAAAATGCAACTTGTGTGCAAAAGGTGTCAATGAATTAGTATGTTCACCAATGCCAGAAGTCTGTCAAACAAAATAGATGAGTTGGAAGTTTTGGTGCATGAAGAGAACTATGATTTAATTGGTATTGCTGAATCTTGGCCTCATTCTTCTCATGACTGGGCCATTAATATTCCTGGCTATGCTCTTTCAGAGAGACTGAGTAAAAAGGAAAGGCGATTGTGCCTGTCTCTTTGTGAGAAGTGATCTAAAAGCGAGTGTGAAAGAGGACCTAGTTGATGGGAGTGTGTGATGAGGCTGAAGCATTATGGGTGGAACTGCACATGGGGGTGCGTATTACAAAGGCAATCATTGGAGTTTGATGTAGGCCACCCAGTGTTGATGAGCAGGTGGGGACTGTGCTCCTTGCACAGATCGAACGGGCTGGGTCAGTGATGATGGGGGATTTTAACTACCTGGAAATTGACTGGAGTTATGGCACTGCAGGAACAGTTAAAGGGCAAAAGTTTATAAACCTACTACAGGACAATTTTAATAGTACAGTTTGTAGAAGCCCCAACTAGGAATGATGCTCTGCTGGACCTGGTAATCTCAAACCATGCAGAGGTTATTACTAATGTCCATATAAAAGAACATCTGGGTAGCAGTGACCATAACATGATTTCATTTGTTAGCTGTAAACGGCAAGCACATACGGAAAAAATGCTCCACTTTAAGAGCTAATTTTCCAAGGCTGAGAGCTGCTTTCCAAGACAGACTGGGAAGGAATATTGGCATTAATAAACACAACACAGAAATGGGAGTTGTTCAAAAAGACTATGTGAACACACTGCAAAATATATTACCATGGGCAACAAGTTTAAAAGGCTAAAATTGAAACCTATGTGGCTTACGGCCAAAGTTAAAAAAAAGCTATAAATAAGAAAAAAAACTTTAATATAAAAATGAAGGAACGCTATCCTCGTTTAAACATTACAAAGAATATAACCATATGTAAAAAGGAAATCAAGGACACAAAAATTGAAAACTAACAGATTGCAAGAGATAGGACAAACCCTCAAAATTCTTCAAATATTTTAATAGTAAAAAGGTCCGGTTCGAGCATGTAGGCCCTTTACAAAATCTAGAGTGGGTGACTGGGGCCAAAGAGAACGCAAATTTATTAATACTTTTTTCAGCTCTGTGTATACAAAGGAGCATGGGGTTGCTTTTGTCTATAATGGGCATGATATTGCCCCAGATGATCCACATTGGCTCACAATTGATATGATCCAGAAACATTTAGACAAGGTGAATAAAGCACCTGGACCGGATGGCATACACCCATGGTTCCTGTCATTTCAAAGCCATTGTTTCTAATTTTTAGGGGCTCTTTAATGACTGGCATAGTACTGCTGTATTGGTGTAAGGCCAATCTGGTGCCTATATTTAAAAAGATCAAAATCTTTACCAAGTAATTTTAAACCTGTTAGTCTAACCTCTATAGTTGGAAAGATACTGGAGAGTAATAAAAGACCACATAGATGAGTTGCTTGAAAATATTTTAAGCAACAGACAGCATGGATTCATGAAAGACAGAAGTTTTCAAACAAATCTGATTCTTTGAGGAGGTGAGCAAAACCTTGGACAGGGGGGTGGCAGTGGACGTGGTATACTTGGATTTTGCAAAAGCGTTTGACACAGTTCCCCACACATGGCTAATGTGTAAGGTAAAGTCTATGGGCTTGGAAAAATCCATATGTAAATGAATAGAAAACTGCCTGGAAGATCGAATTCAGAGAGTAGTGGTTGTTTCATATTTTGAATTGTCTAAGGTTGTTAGTGGTGTACCCCAAGGTTCAGTGTTGGGACCCTTTTTAATATATTTATAAACTATATAGGGTCTGGAATTAAAAATCCCATTTCAGTCAGTCTTTGCAGGTGACACCAAGCTGTGCAGTGGAATAACGTCCTTACATTGGGCAACTGTGGCAAATGAGGTTTAATGTTTATAAATGTAAGGTTTTACACTTGGGGCTAAGAATATGCATGCATCATACATATTCATACATGCTGGGGGGGTTCAACTGGGGGAATATATGGTAGATTAGGATCTGGGAGTTCTAGTAGATCATAAGCTTAATGGCATGCAATGCCATGCTGTGGTTTCTAAAGCGCGCAAAATCCTCTCTTGTATTAAGAGGTATAGAGAGAGATATAATTTTGTAAGACCTCATCTGGAATATTCAGTTCAATTTTGGGCATCAGTTCACAAAAATAATATTGGGAACTGAGCAGTGCAGAGAAGGGACACCAAACTGATAGAGGCATGGGGGAG